CACCTGGGTACCTCGAAGAAGAAGCGCAGCATCAGGGCCAGGGCCCCGAAGCAGAGGCCGGGGCCGATCTGCTGGGTGTAGACACTCCTGTCGGGGTACAGCCCCTTCTTCTCCTTCATCTGCTGCAGCTGTGGGGACAGCGGCCACGGGAGGCTCTTAGGTCACAGTGTCTGCCCGGCAGTGGCCGCCCTGAGCCCCGGGGAGAGCTGGCCTCGGGCGCTCGCACCCCGTCATCCTCGGGGAGACACCCCGACATGTATCCCACTCGGCAGCTGCAGGACCCGCAGGAGCCCACAGCCCAGGGACCCCTGCCTCCCACCCCTGCCTACCTGTTTGAGATGCAACCAGCCCCTGCATGGCCCCCTGTCCCAGCCAGAGGGGAGCCCCGAGGGGAAGGACACCCCAACCGTTCACAGCCAGGGGTGGGGTGGGGACCGGAGCACTGGACCTGCCCACCAGTGTGGCTTCGGGGCGCCTGTGATGGGCCGTGACCGCCTTTGCTGCTTCCATGGTCAACGGACGCGCAGTCCTGTTTGTTAGAGAAGCTTGGCCGCACGTTAACCTGGGCCTTCTCGGACGCGCCTGGGAGAAGCCCGGGGGCATTTACATGGGAGAAGATGGGCTCACGCCCCCACATGGTGAGATAATGCAGGTCCACGTCCCGGAACCCGCCCGGGCCGGGTGTCTCAGAGCACAGACGTTTTGGGTGGAAGTGAGACGCGTGGCTGCACCCCTCGTGGGAGCCCCGGGGGCCAGGCAGCACCTCCAGAGCACAGCCCCCTGCGTGGCGCCACCGAGCCCATGAGTAACGTGGCGCTGGCTCAGGGCAGTTTTTGTCCAAGTCCAGTTTGGTGAAACTATAAAAATATATAAAAAGAGACCCAGGGGCTCTGTGGCAGGGACTATGCTCGCTCCCCCGGCCAGACAAGATCCACGGGGTGAGGACACCACCCTGCCCCCCGCCCTTGCCGTGTCCTGGCCCTGCGGCACCTCAGCCTGGGTCGCTGGCTTTAACCCCGGGTCCCTAACCACGTGTCCCTCCGTTTGTCTCCGGCACCTGTGACCTCTGTCTGCTGGCCCCCGGGAGGGCTGCCCGATGGAATACAGGACGCCGGGGCCACTGCGCTTCAGGTGCCCAGCGGTCACTGTGCAGCGTCTCATGTCCGTGTGCCCTGGTCATTAGCTGAAGTTCAAAACAACTGCGCCTCTGCCCTGGCCGATGTGGCTCCATGGACAGGGTGCCAGCCTGCAGACTGAAGGGTCCCGGGTTCGATTCCAGCCATGGGCACATGCCCGGGTTATGGCTCAATCCCAGTAGGGAGCGTGCAGGAGGCAGCCCATCAAGGATTCTCTCTCATCATTGATGTTTCTCTCTCTCCCCCCTCCCTTCCTCTGAAATCAATACAAGTTTATTAAAAAAAAAAAAGAAAGGGGACTCAGACACTGGCATCACTGCATAGAGCTTCCACTGGATGAGTAAGCAGGTAACTTTCTCGTGACCAATTCATTTTAAAATTTGAAATCTGAGACAATGGAGCTAAGTGGGTCCGATCTATAGGAAGACAAATGCAATTAAATTGCAAACCCAT